GATGATTCTCTTTCCGATTAATTATTCTCGAAAATTAAATGTGAAAGAAGAGGCATTTATCGTTTGGAGAGAGTGATTTCCCTTGTTACGTCATGTCGTATCTGTGATCGATGGTTGATGACGTATAGCCATTGATATTGTGTAAGGAATTGTTATTAACAAATTGGAAACTATCGAGGAAGTGAAATTGGAGTTATTCCGTTTCATCGTAAATCAGGCTGCGTTCGTCAATCGTAGTTTTTCATTTTCGAGGAAAATCTGGAAAATTAAATCCGAGGTTTAACTTGTCGCAGACAGTTTGACGTATTGAGCACTGGATATAACGGTGCAGCTGATCCGCCATTGATCATTTCAGGCCTGTAAAATCAATAATTAGCGTTAGATAGGTGGACGCGTTGTGCCCCTGTAATAGATCGTTTTGTTTTGTGGGATACGATTACATGCGTAGCTACGTATGTCATTTCAAATGTGATTTCTCCATCATTGTCCGGATAATTGATCGTCATAATATCGAATGAATATCGCGGAATACAAACGAAATTTCTAAAACGGATCCCCTGAAATGGTATGGAACTCCTGGTGTCACATAATATGATATTGTTCAATGTGGTTTTATTATATCTTCTCGTTTCGAATAGATTAATATTAAATTCCTCTTTATCGATGAATTCAATAATATTTATGGAATGCGGTTTTACATTAAACATATTGTTATACGAAACGCATAACATGTTTGACACATCAATCTACATAGATAACACGTGTGTTCGATTCGAATAAGCTATTACTCAATTTTTCTCTTTCTGGTAGATTCAGGTATTTGTTCTTTTTTTTTTTTTTTTTTTCAAAAATTCATTACAACAATTTTGAAATTTCTTTGATCTTGTTCTCTGTAAATTTTTCTACAAAGTTAACATCGTCTATTTTCATAAGATAAAGAATCCTATCTTTTTCCAGAAAATCCAAAATGCAGAGGATGCAATGGAAGGGATATGAAGTTTTAAAAATCTTTGGTGAACCTTTGGAGAATTTTCCTCCACGGAATTTTGTACACGTAGTTTCCTCGTTATAATTCAACCTCGTAGAATTCAAATTCATTCATAATAAATAAGTTTTATAAACATGCATATAAGATTTCGCCGCGTAGAATACAAGATTTGAAGGAAGGAAAAAGATATTGGAAAGAAAATGAACAATTTCTTGTATATATATATTATTCAACAACACATTGCATGGATAAATTGTCAATCGAAAATTCCAATTATTTCAAAGATACACGTTAAACTTATCTACGAATCACCGTCCAATTTATTCGATAAATCTGAAAAGTTCGAATTAACTCGAGATCGATTTATCGTCTCGGTGGATAATCCCCGTGTAAACAATCAAGCCAGGAATCAAAGGAAGCGCAGAATTTGGGGCAACGTTGCGTCCCGCGCAACAACAAGACCGGAGGCAAGGCGCGTCAAGGAAGCCCTTTAAGCGCAAACAGGAAGATCCTAAATATGCAACCCCCATACCCTTTGCGATGCAAGCGCCGGTACATCCTCGCGCCTTGTGAAACGAGATTGCGTCTCGGAAATGTTTCGGAACGTTGGTCGGTCTCCGTTTGCTAAATGCATACCCGTGGACGCCGGAAATGAGGACACCCGTTTGCGAATACGTTGGGTGCCGTTCCCGAGAATGAGAGACCGTCCCCCAGAGAGAAACAGATTTATTCATGAAATGATATTTTATGTTCAAAGAGATCCGCCTGGATCTTCGGCTGGATCTTTCCCCGTGCCACGATGAAAATAAACCACGTTAACTGAAACGTGATCTCAATTTATATGCTAAACATCGTATCCATGGATAACCGCAACGTTGGAATTTTAACGATCACACTTTAAATAGTTCCTCTAATTTTCGTTCTATTCTTCGCGGGTCAACGCGATGGACGGTCCCGGAATATCCGGTAAAACATCGAAAACCTTCTTCGACCGCTTGCTCTCTCTCTCTCTCTCTCAACTCCGTTTTGATCGAGGGGGTTTATTTTCGAGGCTCAAATAAATGAAAACAAAGTTCGTATAATTTTATCGAAAATTCAATTATATTGAAATTGAAATAATATGGTATATATTAATAGAATCGTAAAAATTAAATTTTGATATTTTGAGTTAAGATTACAACGTTATTATTTCTCAATACATTATAAGATTACACAAGACCATCATCCATTTCCATGAAGCCTCGAAATTATGTAGAACTAACAGTTCATTATACCGAACCACTATCATACACGTTAACGATGCAATTTTTAAGGGTCGTCGGCGTCAGCTAGTCTGAACCTATTCACCGGCAATTTATGACAGCTACTTAAACTGCATATGGAGAACGTCCATATATCCAACAATGTCCAACGACTCTATTCGCTCTCAAACTAAGAATATCATTCCTTAAAAGAAATCGAATGGATAAATAGTGTTCAAGCGAACGTGTTAGAAATCGTGTGCAATTTGTCATGCCATTCTCACGAAAAAAGAAAATCTCATGACACCTATTTAAACTGCAGCTATGGATGCTGGAGAACGTGCATATATCCAACAATGTCCAACGACTCTATTCGCCCTCAAACTAAGAATATCATTCCTTAAAAGAAATCGAATGGATAAATAGTGTTCAAGCGAACGTGTTAGAAATCGTGTGCAATTTGTCATGCCATTCTCACGAAAAAAAAAATCTTATGACACCTATTTAAACTGCAGCTATGGATGCTGGAGAACATGCATATATCCAACAACGTCCAACGACTTTATTCGTCCTCAAAGTAAGAATATTTTTCATTCCTTAAAAGAAATCGAATGGATAAATAGTGTTAGAAATCGTGTGCAATTTAAATCGAAAAAAATTTCTCTAGCCATAGATCCTGAAAATAATTATTCCTCCCGGAATAATATACGTGATATACAAAAGTAAAAAGTTGGATCGCAATCGACGTCCAATAAAATTCGCAGTAAAATCTGCGTACGGATTTGCAACTGACACGTCCAAGCTCTCCTCGGTTGATCCAGGGCCAAGGCGAGGACAGGGATACGCCTCCGGGATCCTTGACACCTGGAACAGGGCCAATCTCCATGGGCGTCGAACTTATGCCGTCGGCAGACTTTCAAAATTATTACTCGACCGCGTCAGCACCCACCCTGTGTTTGTTTTCGTCCTGACGTTAGCCCCCCTCCCCCCTGTCTTACCTATTTTCCCTCTCCTCCATATTTCTTCCCCCGCCTATCGTGCCAGCTTCGTTTCTTCCAACCTTCGTTTCTCCATAACTGGAATCGATGTTCCCGAGTAATATCGACGAGCGTGTCTACGTCGTGGATATTGATAGGAAATAAAGTGATCGATGATTGATAACCGTGGTAGAGTAAAGTAAGGAACGAGATGGGTGTTTCGTAAGGCACTTTCATTAAAAGTGAAACACGTGGCGGCGGTTCGAGGAAGAAAAGCGCGAGGAGAGGAGGCAGGAAAGGAATTGTACATCTTTTGAGGTGAACCGGAGGGAGATGGATGTATGGAGCGGTTTCCTGCTCAATCCGATTATCTTGGTCGGCTTAAGAGGATTTCCGTGGAAACTTCGTCACGCTTCCGCGCTTCGAATCCCTCTGTACTTATAAACGATTGCGCCCATTGTTTCCCGATTTCTCGAATGGTCAGTTGATAGGGGAAGCTATTGAAACGGAATCGGCGTTAGGAAGAATGTGTTTCGTATTTAATTTCATTTCGATTAAAATAGATTTATCATCGATTTAAATAATCTCGTGGAGGTATTTAACCTTTTTTTTTTTAAGTGTAATATTTAAGCGAATTAAAATATTTATTTATTACTATTTGAATTAATATTTGTTATATTGTATAGTATGTTAAAAGTTTCATTTCTATGTAAAAATATTTGATATGTAATTTTTATGAAAAAAATAAAGTAATTGAAAAAACAAGCTTTAAATGTAAAAATTAATTTGTTTGAAACCTAAAAGAAATTTTTAATAGATTCTTTTAATTTTCTTTTTTTTTTTTAATATATTCTGAGATCCAAATTTATAAAATTTAATTTATGTTTTCCATTTATATGCAATGAAAATACATCGTTCTTTTTTTTTATGTATTAAAATATAGAAAGCATTAATATTTTTGCAAATTGATTGTGAATAGGTTGAAATATTTTTACAATTACGTATAAATTTTATTATTTTACTATTTTACATAATAAAATTTAATTTTTATATATTTGGACATTTGTATTTTCGAAAAATTTTCAATTTATCTTGTTCGGTTGAAAATTTATATGTGTTATATCAATGAAAGTAAAAAATATATATATGAAATTTTTTAGTGTTTTTAAGAGGATTATTTTTATTTTAAAATTGTCTTTCGTTGTCAAAAAGTGTGAAGATACGGATACTTTCTAATTCCTGTAGTAATATGCGATAATTGCAAATCTTTAATCGCCTCTTACGACAGAATAAACTTTAATAACGTGCAGTTGTAATTGTCTAATTATCGTCGCAATTCATTGATTTCACTTAAGTCCCTATTGGAAGGACTGAGTAGTTTCAATTATCGATTAGATCAAACGAAATTAACCATTTTCCACGAAACTACGCTACGAGTATTGAAATTAGAATTTCTGTCTTTGATATTCTGGTCGAGAATTCAATTGAATAGAATTGAATGGAATTTTATTATATTGAATTTATCATTTATGTAGAATACATTCTTGATATATATATATTATAATCATTATAATCATCATACTTAGATATTCTTTCATATTTTAAATTTTGCATAAAATTATATTATCATTGAAAGTTGACTTAATTTCTTATTTATCAATCAATTTATTAATTTCATATTAATTTCTATCATTCATTATACACATATACTTAATATTAATAATACATATTCCCATTACAATATTATTTCACTATTGAAATATGTTATATTTCAGACTTTGTCTTGATTTTCAGGTTAAATTACTTGATGTCGGGATTAACGACAAGCTGGTATCACGCAACGAATATTGCCCTACACGCCATTGCATGCGTTTTGGTCACAAAGGTGAGCCTAGCGGTAGCATCATTGCGTCCAGGATTTGCTGCCTTGACAGGCTTGCTGTTTGCTGCTCATCCTGTACATACTGAAGCGGTAAGTAACTGTCAAGCTTGTAACAGTCATGATGAAATTATACGCAAATGTACGTTTCATTTCATTCTATGTTCCTATGTCTGTTAAAAACAAAATTCTATACAATTACTTACAACCAAAAACAAAATATGAAACTTACGAACTTTTAAATATAATTATCCAACTTTTTAATTGTTTATAATTAAGGATAGGAGAGTATTAAAAATAATTTATTAATTTATATTTATTTTTAACCGTACACTGAATGATATTGACAATACCCTTTCCTTATATTTATTCATATCTGTACAAATATACATTTTTCTTTAAAACATATTATACATTTATAAGTGAAAAGTAATGAAAAATAATTCTTATTTGTAAATATCAGATATAATTTTGTACACTTGTACTGTAAATTAGAAGCGAATGAGAAATAGTTTCGTCGCTCTAATTACGAATATTCATAGTTCGAGCATCAAGTCTGCAGCACGCGATAATTCGATGAGACTTAATGCAGAAATTAATCCAAAATCTTCGGATTCGTGTAGTTATAGATTTACCTTAAGCCGATTGAGAGATATGAGAGTGATCGATGGGGAAGTCTCTTGTTCGCGTTGCATTATATGCGCACGATGCGCAACACAATAAACTTTAACGGCGGTGATTATGTTTGTGTACGTAATCTGCTTTCGTGTAAGGGCATAATGGAGATACTGTACTCGTTTATTATTCGGTTATCTGCTATGTAGATTTAGAAGGATCACAGAGAGAGAAAGAAAGGAGAGAGAGAGAGAGAGAGAAAGTGATATAAACATTGGATTAAATTTCATTAAATTTCATTCATTTTATTAAAACAAATTGTATACTATATACTAAACGTATTTTGAATATTTATCATATATTTAATTACATTAAATACATCCCTAATATTAAAATCAGCTTATATAAAAAAATAAAAGTAGAATGGTTTCGTAAAGACTATATACTCTACACTATATCCTTAACTTCCTTATAGGTGCACTGATAAAAAATTTATCAACCTCAACATTATTTTTTTAACGGC